ACAATAGTATGGAATTTAACGATGATTATTAATCTTATTGAAACATAATAAGAATTTAAATTGTTTACACAACATATTTAACTATAGCCAACTATGTTTATTTCATAAACCATGGGAAAATTTGAGTACTATGCATTTGCATAAACGTTTAGTTATAAATATTTTCAATAATGGTAATACTTATAAAAAATATCGCGTCGGTTACTTTAAAGTTATTCTTGTCGCTTGATCGGCTAATATCGCGTTACAGTAATCCGAATCTGCGGTATTAGTGACAGATGAATCGTATTTGTCCATTTTAATGTCACAGAAAGAAGTAAATTTGTTTTACTACATATCCTTTTACTGAGTGTTTGAGAACGACAGTTTTAGTTTACGTTTCAGCTCTTGGAAATGAAAAAGTAAAGTTAGTAATTAATAAGCCGGCATAGGCTTCTATTTTCATTAAAGGCTATTATAAGGTTTTACTTCAATTACAATTAAATTCGTCTATTTCCTAATCAAGTTGTATTAAAAGGTGTTTAAGACGAAATAAAATAATTAAATTACTTTATTCGCTAGGTGCTGCGATTGGTCCGCTCGAAATCAAACAAAACTTGTCTCTTCAGTTCGTGAATGCATAAAAAGTTTTTTTTTATGTACAGACGTATTTTAGAAGCGTATTTAGCCTTGTATTTGTTTTGGTGCCAAAAGAAATCCGTATTCTACAAAGAAAGTAGAGACTTCGTACACATCGATATAGCATCCGTTGTCTATTCTTTCAACCAATTTTACTCATTCACTCCTTCCCCCAAAGAGATTTAATTCCTCAGCCCGAGCCTAGCCACCTATGCGTAACACCCCTCATATCGTGGATGATTAGGATTTGTCATCGTGGTGAAAGGATTGGCCAGTCAGTGGGGGAAAATCTCTGACTGTTGCCCAGGGTGCGCCAGACATACTCTGTATGTACATCCTATCATGCACTAATATCGTCACCGAGTGAGATCCGTATGCCAACTAATATATTGCATATAAATTATTGGAACGTGATCTTTAGCAAAGTATTATCGAATTGATTCTTAACAACATTATTAACAAACACACGCTTCTGAATCTTCGGTAATTCCGTTATTAAAACATATTCACCTACTGATGGAATGATCATTAATTTACCATGACAAGCGAATTTTCAGTGACATTCAACGTTAAGCTAATGCTATTTTTATATATCTGACAAAGCTAACGCGTGCGGCCTTAATAGTGCAATCATTTTCCGATTATTTAAGTTCCATCCGCGGGTCGTCTTGTTTCGATCGGCAAAAAGCGGCCACCAAAGAGACAAGGTGTCAAAAATCCAGACCGGCACGTTGCGAAATCGAGTGCATTAATCATTGCACGTATGTCTCGACAAACGAGCGAGACATCGCTTGCGTCAAAACACAGCCTCCATTATCCTTTGTTTTTGTTCAGAAGAATCATTTGCTGAGACAAAGGCGGCTATATTGTTCCAACGTCCACTGCGAGGTCTTGCGACAAGCGTCAACGTTCGCTTGTCACGGGTCCGATGTTCACATGTTTTTTTTGGTTATTAGCGACCTTGAGCTTAGATTTGGTGATTCATGTATATCGATATGAGGCCGAGACGCCACGTTTGTTCTCAACTTGAACCATATACATGCAATGGACGTTAGTATTACGTCACCAAGCTAAATTCAAATATGTAGATTGTTGAAATTTATTCAGACAAGTGTAACGCTACATTGGTATAAGGGCGGTAATATTAATATATTACAGCATCGTAACTGTCCGTGGTAACTATAAACACAGTACAGGATATTAATATATATTTTATCTAATTCTGTATTAGGCTTTACTCTGTCGTTCTAACAAACAACTATAAACTTGTATCTGTCATATATAATATATCTATCGTGTATAATATTCCGCACATATAGTGTTGATATGCATGTTTTCATCGTATTTATAACATCCGAATGTGTTACACCAACATATATATTTTCGTAGCTGTTACACGATACTCGCATCAATTATATCCAACATTACGTCGAGAGAAATTGTACACGGACAATCGCTGGGACCGTAAGCGTTCGGGATACCATACAACAGAGGACGAATACGTAGAAGCTCTGCGAAAACCCGCCAAAAATGACCGTGTACGAATGAGGTCGGCGCGATTGATATGGGGGAGGGGGGGGGGGGGGGAAGGCGGCGGCAATTAACGCGTAATCCGGCGTCGATCGCCCCGCTTCGCCGTACTAACGGCCCGTCCCGTCCCGCCCGCCTTATACGGCGTGAAAGCTCGCTGTCCGGTACGCGCCGCGCGGTCGCGATCACGTGCACGATAGCCCCCGACCGCCGGCCCTTGCTCTCGCGCGTTTGCATTCTCGGATGCATTTCGTAACGAGCCCCGAAAAGTCGAGAGCGCATGTTGTATGTGGTCCCCCAAAACGGCGACGGTAATGCAGTGGAATTGCTTTAACACGTGATAACATTATGTTATACTCTATGCGAACAGAACGTTAATACATAAGTAAAGCTTTGTCACGAATTTTTAACGCTAAACTAACACTTTTCGTTGCTCGAAATGTCGGGAATTTAATAGCGAAGTAAAACCCGATAGTCTGTTAACAGTTTCATTTAACTTATTCGCTTTAGTATATACAACGTGTAAGAATACATTGGTTGAATTAGTCTGTTTGATCTTGGAGAGCCCTTAGGCTACCAAATAAAACCCTTAAAAACTTTGCATAGCTACGTCATCTCTTAGTCAGCCTTTTTGTAGTTAAAAATGTAGAGTTTATAGAAGAAAATGCTGGCAACAACTTCCCATCCAAAGTTGTTGACAGTCAATGAACATAAATGTAAGGATAACTAAACTCGCCGAAATATGAATTTTTGATATACCTTAGTAAGTTCGTTTTAAAGAAAATTAAAAATTTATCTGTGAATATAAGCAATGGCATTTCCTCCACTTCTCGCTGGTTAACTCTTAAGAAGATGTAATAAAATGAATGGAAATGGTTGTAACATTTTTGAGAACGATTCTGTTTATATTTGTGATTGAAAGACGAGACATTCACAGCTTAAACCAAACAACCTGATATGTCTAATAAACCTCGTCATTCCTTAACCCAAATGGGATAGTCTAAGATCGTCATCATCATTTCAGCCTGTTTGAGTCCACTGCTGAACATAGCCCTCCCCATAGACTGCCACGTAACACGATCCTGAGCCACCTGCATCGACCGACTTCCCGCAATAAATAGCTAAATGCTGTCTAATATAAAGAGTAATTAAAATAGGTGTATAAATACCGTTGCGATTTATGTGAATATTTTAATAATGTTTTTATTAAAGTATTTGACGAAGATAATGAGATACACCATTTTAATTAGTATTTGACCTACATATTTTAATACAAACCATTAACTCATTATAACGACTTTGTTGATTTGCAAACGACGAACATAAATCTGCCGATTATTGACGTAGCAAAGATATATCAAGTTTGAAATCTCTGCGTAAATTACGAAAGAATTGTAATTAATTTCCACATAATATGTCTTGGGCTTTTAAGATATGATCCTAAATGATTCCGAGAAACATAGCTGTTTTTGTAAAAACATAACTTAAAATGTATTTACTTCATTGGTCACAAATATTTAAGATTTTAATGTAACAATATACAAAGAAAGAAAGAAATGAAAGCTAGTTATTTGACATAACAAAAAAATTAATGTTAAATACAATTTTAACAAAAATAATATACAAAAAAAAACAGAATTACATTTATTACAGAGTACATGGTCCCGAGTTTAGAAAACTGCTGCAGTACTCAAATCGGTCTGATGCTGATTTACAAATGGAGTCTTATGTTGTAAAAAAAATAATTAAAATAATACCAAAACATTAAAAAATAAAAGAATGATATCATATTAAGCAATATACCGTGGTGAAGTTTTGTACAAAAAATTAAATCATCGAGATTGATATTAATTAGACAAAAAATCTCGTTCCACGCGCTCTCAATATATATTACAATAATAATATCCGTTATACACGTTTTTATAAGATCATTTTTGCTTAAAGCAGTCTTTAATAATCGAAACTTCGTGCAATCAAACGAGTTTTTTTATTAATTGCATATAGAGTAAACTTACCTAATTTAATCAAATTTTACGTCTCTAATATAGATTAATTGGGTAAAGATAGCCTCATAAATATCCGTATAAAGTACTTATTGAATAGAAAGAAAGCTAAACGTTATTTCAAACAACTCTAGCGTCCTTATGTTGGAGTTATGTCTAAGAAATGTTACGTTACACAACGTGATATCCTTACAGAGGGAGAAAATAGTTGACCACAGTATCCATGGTAGGCGTTAAAAGCGGTCGAGTACATACGTGGAAGATGTTGCCCAATTGAAATGCGCGCGACGTCGCAAAAACATATGGTCATCTGATTGTGTATACCGGATATTGGCCAATGACTCATCGCCTCGTTATCTGAATAAAGAACATGGAATCAAACCCCATGTTTATAAGTTAACAGCGAACGCAGACGGGAATACACTTGTAATAATAAACGAATACAGCTTATTTTAAAAATCATCTGATAACTTCATTTACTTTTGTAAGATAGGGGGATTTATCAATAATAACCAGAAAATTATGTATCATCATTTTTATATACATAGTCGGATGCCCTTCTCTCAACTACGAGACTTGTCTTTTAAATGCGTTATATGTAATAATATTATTTACTAAAGTAATAAGCAATATTGTTTTGTAATATCTCTTATTTTGGATAAATTCCCTTGGTATCTGAAACACGCTCCGTCGGATATCTCAATCTTGAAGATCCAGTAAATACATTAAATTTTATCTTCCCGGCGGAGATCTAAAATTATCGCGACTAATATGACATGTTTTATCTTAGAAATTTATGAACGCAGATGTTCTTACGCCACGCTAAATGTGTTATTGCTTTCTTTACAGAAATAGCCAAAGTGCGCGCGAGTTTATTCCAAATAAATGGAGTCAAGAAAGAGCCCCTCATCCTACCAGAGCCCGAAGGCGTTGTCACCACACTAACAGAAAAAGTATACGTGCCAGTTAAAGAACATCCAGATGTAAGTATTATTTTTTCTATGATAGGCATTACGACCGATATTTTCATAAATTTATTATATCGATATAAAAATTCCGTCCATTAATATATTACTGGTTAGTTAAAAGCGATTACTTAAGCAGCCTCCGGCTAAATATTGTTGATCGCCGGCCATTCCCAAGACGTTGCATTTAGCCCGTTAATTGCGCAACGTAAATATTCACGAACGAGTGATGAAGCAGCTTGATATGAAACTTCAGCAAATTTCGCGAAGCAAATGGCCACCGCCCACATGACGCACTTCTGCGGTGTGATCGAATTCAATTCCGCGCGAATCGCTTTCTGCGGGGAGAAAGTCTCGCTACAGCTCTAAATGTTACTAATAGAAACAGTTTAGATATATCACGTTGAACGTTTCAGCCGTACGAAGATCTCTGTTCGAAATTCGTAACGGTAGCGTTGTATTTTAAATACACCATTTTATTTTATTTTTCATTGTTAATTTATGTAAGCGATAAAATATATGTTTTCATCTAGAAAAAAATATGTAGACATCAAATTAGGTCACGGCTATGGCACTATTATTGCAAACCCGTTTCTACAACTTGATTTGATTCATAATAACTGTTGTACAAAGTTCACTTGTACTATTACGTTTGCATCCTTAATTTTTGGACGCTTCATTAAGTTTTCCTCGTTTTCTAATTATGCATCCGTATCACCGCGTCCTTGTACTCTGTAATTATTCAAAAATGTTCAAAATTATTCTGGAATAATATCAATTTATGAGGTCGATTTAAAGCCACTTCTCCTTCGAGCCCGATATAGTTATCTTAAGGAGTCGGCCTGTCGTTCTGCTTTTATCATAAAGGGCGAATTTGTTTCATTACGGCGTAGATCAAGATAATCGGCGCAGGTTGAATTTCATTGCGCTGGGAGATACTGTCGGCTTAGTCACGTGTAATTAGAAACGCAAGGTTGGCAGCCTTCTACATTTGGTGACTTATGTCAGGGCTGCGCTGCAAATGCGAGTACCCTCGGTTTAACTTTCATACAATCCGTAGATCGTCGTTGACAAACGGTTTACGTTCATTTCATTTCTTTGACAACCGTTGTTTCATTTAATATATTATAATCCATATTCATTTTACATGTCTAATTACATTTGTTGTTCCGTTCATCACTCTTTCACAGACATTAAACATTTTGAATGCTTCTGCCGGGGCTCATTTTGATCTATGATAGTAACACAATCGTCTTGTAGGAACTGCCGCTTCTGTAACCAGGCGTAATCTGTAAAAGCGATCTCTTTTTACTGTGTGCTCTATATGGATATGATGTCAATGACCCAAAGATATTTATGGAGTTCACCGAGGTTCTCGGTAATCCTTTTTATACACAGTATCTTTGTATGTTATGTATTGGGCTACTGGATTTGAACAACTTTGGCTCATGTTATATCTCTCTTTTCCATTTTATAGAATGTGAGCTGAAGATAATGTTCATAACTAAAATTAGTGTTTGTGTAGCTCGTTATTCATTTTTCAAACATGCAGTGACTGTGTACAGAAATAGCCGTCTAAAATTTAGGGTAAAATTGTTTTATGCATTATAATTAAAATAAGATGTGAACGTTGAAAATGGAAGTTACTGCGAAGTGAAATTATACTATAACATAAAAATAGATAGCTTATTTAGATTTAGATCTAACACTATTAAAACTTCTAAAACATAATTTCTTTAACGAAGGAATATGAGGTATAGTATTTATTTCACGGCTGACTTTTAACATGAGTTGTTGTATATGTTATAAGATAACACAATTTTGAATTAAGTAACATAAAGCGATATAAAACGCAGCTGCATTTCATTTTTTATATATTCCCACTCAGCATTCAAGGATGTCTTGTTCTGTAAAATGTGGGCACTAACCGTTCCGATTCTTGTGAGACTAATGCTAGTTAGTGACTGATTGTTGGCGCCATCAACGCGGTTGTCGGCCTCCTTATTAGGTGTCGACGTTAAAAAGCTTTTTTTTTTTACTTCGCCCACTTCTGGCGTCTAATAAATATTGTATAAGCGACGCAAAAAATCTTATGTCCGATACATGAATAACGCTGCCGTACTGCTTTGTATGTTCTTAACCATTTGAAACTCTGATGTAAAATGACACTGGCTGATCGTTAAATTAAGGCATAGAAATAATGCTACAAATATGGAAATTGGTCAATGTTTTTAAAATATTATTATTAAGGATTTAAATCACACTTGAATTATAACTAATGCTCCGTGCAACGTTTCACTCATTGCGGGGGCATACTTCGAGTTTAGGAATCTGTAAAAGCAACTGTCTTACGAGAACATGTTTCGCACTTAACCACGATTTTAATTTAGTAAATTAACGGGATTAAAATCATTTCAGACTGTTTTTGTAAAAGTGAGAACGAATTGTCGTGATGAGCACGAAAGAACAATAAAAAGTTGTGTTGTATAATTCTAATTACCACGAGTGAACAGATTGATGCTCATTATCATTTAAATGCAATCTGGCAGGTTTTTTATACAAAAGATCACACTGACGATTGTCATATATCTAACGAAGTGAACGTATATTTTAATATTAATGGAAAATCGGTCAAAGGTACCGAACGGATGTGACCAAGGAGGTAAATGCAATTAAATAATTCTCAGAAGACTTGCATTCAGATAGACCTGGTAGAGTCGAGAGTAGCTATTTTTCAAATCGGCATGCGTTCAAAGCAACATTAACTGTTAGGTATGTACATAATAATATCTATTTAATGCTTGCCCTTACGTCATCCGCAGTTTTGCTTATTTACTTCGTCAATAATGTGAAATAGGTTTATTTTTTAGATGTTATTGTAATCCTCCTCAATTCATTAATGTTCAACTGATTCGTTAGCAACTCATTCGTTAATTTAAAATGACGCTCATCACGAAGACCGGACGCGTCGTTCGCCGTGTGATTTATATCGGTTATTAAATAATTCATTACTTAAACGTTGTAAAGTTCGCGTTCTGTCGAAAACTCGCGAACACGCAATCACTAAAGCAGCGGTAATAAAGAGAACTATTTCCGTCAATCTGAGAAAATGGAGCGGGAATATTTACTTTGGGCGTTTTATTCGCTCGCAAAAACCCCCGTTCCGTGGAGTGAACGGAGACCAATCTGAAAATAGAGCAGCGTGTTGTTCAGCGTTTGTGTTGAAACAAAGGCTTTCTTACCTAGCTAATAGAGGCCGAGACTTGAAAGAAAAACGTTATAGCCAGACTATAGCAATTTGCACCACAACTGAAGCGGTACCGTTAGAACGTGCTAATTCGTCGAGAGCTGTTTAGGTGTTCTCGTAAAAGTTCGGCCATTAGTACTGTTTGCTTAGCCTTAGGCCTTTTTATGTTCTAGTGTATTCCATGTAAATTGTAATAATTTATTTTTGTAGTAACAGTTATGACAGGACTTGACTATACTCTGTATTGTCACTTTTCAACGACTTTTCCCATACCGTAACTATTTGTTATTCTAGCAGGACATGTCTACTCTGCTATAATAGGATTATTCTACGACCTTTTAAAATTATTTATTAAATTCATTTGATTTTATTGCCATTTTGAACTTGTGAATTCACTATTATGTCATTTATGGAGCTATGGTGGTTCGTTTAAATGAAAAGTTATCAAGAGGGCATGTGGTTCACCCAATTCGCCCCGGATACCTCGACCCACAAAATTATAGGCGTTATATACATATGTAGCATGAATAGTATTTGTGTATACACTTCACACCGGTGTTCTCTGAGGCCGTGGCACTTCCCCAGAGGAGCCTGCCCATTTGTGCCACACCCGAAGCTGCTGTCACAGTCAAACTTCAGGGAGCAAACGAGGATTAAGCTGAGATATAGTTGCTAGTTGCTACAAATAATTTTGACAAACTTGTCAAACGCCATTCCAGAGTGAGGTTAGGTGCGCTATGCAAAATTATACACAAAATTAAAACCACAGGCAGCGGATTTAATGTTTCCACATCAGGAGATTCGGCTGAAATTAGATAAACATTTTCCATTATATTCTAGTACTGCACCGAAAATATTCTCGGAATAGTCGAGCGTGACGCATACAATGCATTCGTAACAAAAACGACCTTCGTGGATCGAGATGAGCCGTTATTTAGATAGGACTGAGCGATATTATTTCTCTTAATAGAATCTAAATGAGCGTCAAACGCAGACGATTCCGCATTGTTGGCACTACGTTTGCGAGCTTTAGTTCGTTGAGAAGCGAGCGGGCTCAATCATAGGTTATAGACTTGATGGAGAGCTGGTTGCTCCATGGTAGACTGGTCCCACAAGTTTTCTAGTCGCATCGAGCTCGAGCATAGGGCTGTGAATTAAATGTCGATGCGGCCGCAACAAGGCGACACTGGCATCTTGAGACATGGTCGCGGAATATTAAACGGCGTCGTTTATGCAAATTGCTCAACTGCGTGTGTTCAGTAAATCATAGCGAATCGATCGCTTTATTAGCATGCAACGATTTGCTCGGAAACCCTCGATTCATGTGAACATAGTTTGTTATTAACTTGAACGGACGTATGAGGAAATCACCGATTTGTAAGATGAATGTGATTTTGGAAAAGAGAAATTTGATAAACCTAATTCGGCTTTCCTCGTTTAGTGTAACTTCCATAATAATAGCCTCATACATATGAATAATTTATAATTTCTAAATTTGTAAAAAGGTTTGTGTCGTGTTTACATTATATTATTATTTGTAAGTTAATACATGTGGATTTTTTTTAGCATAATTTAAAGATTGTAATAGATCGCACACAATAATTTAGTAATACAATAATTTCAAAGCATTTTCTTCCTACTTTATTGGTGTATTTTATAATTGTCTTAAACACGTTTATCATATCGATATATCCAATTAAATCACCCGCAGTCTCTTTCATGCCATCTAAGGGAAGCGCTTAATATAGCAGGTCCGCCCGTTACCTTAACT